GATTGTTCACACTTTCTCAAAGCCTGCCATGTCCCAGAAGATGAGGGCGGTACTCAGAGCCAAGGCACGAATCCTGAACCACGTGTGACAGGGTACCTGCTTTGAAGCCTCGTGAACTTGGGAGAGCTAAGCAGATGAGCAGACCGCATGCACAAGTTAGAGGGGACGCGAGACGCTCCGGAGCGCCCTGGCTTCTGCCGATGCCAGTTCTACTCCCTTAAGCTGCGCAGGTTCCATGCGGGCAGCGGACAGGTTGACTAATTGTCAGAGTTGCCACTCTCATCATCTGCATAACACACATTCTCCAAGGCTTAAACAGTCTATAAAAACCTGTTGTTTGGGGGAGGCCCTTTACCCCACCTTAGCAGACCCATTAGTATGAGGTTGTTTTCAAGCGTTAGCCATTTCAGAGAAAAGAGTAGCAACATTTGGAGGACCTTTCTTCATCCTCGTCACTGATCCCAGAGAAGAAAGAGGGAGCTGCCGGGTTTGGGAGCAGGGGCAGGAAAGGGGCTGGTGTGGTCAGCTCGACCCCCTCCCCTCGGAATCAGCCGCCTCTGGGACACACATCCTCCGTCCCTCCGTGCCCTGAGACACTCCTATGTCTTGCTTGGTAAAGAACCTGGTGCGCAAGAGCATGTTACATAGTGACCCTCCCTTCCCCCAACACCAGTAAATCCTCATTATGGCTGTCCAGAGAAGGTAGAGAGGACCTGAGTGCCAGGCACCTGCTAAGCACTTCATACGTGGCATTCCACGAAGCCTAGAAAACCAAAGCCTAAAAACCTCCATCGACACACCCAAGATAAGATGCTTAGGAAGTGGTGGCTCGCATCCCCACTCTCCAGCACTGGCCCACGTGAGACTGGACCTCAGAGATAACCCTGGCCAGAGAGCTGATAACGGCTGCCCATTAGGTTCTGCAGATCTGCATCTTATCTCCTGCGGATGGCACGGAGCTCTGAAGTCTCTACCAAGTACTGAGCAGATCAGCAGCTCCCTTTAAAGGAAAAGAATCACCTTCCTCGCTGGCACTCTGCTGGAAGAGGGGACAGTCCTCTGGTGGGGAAGAATGCAAATCAGGTTCTCGACACTGAAAAGCCCAGCTCGGCTCTGCCTCCCCGTTCTTGGAGCCAAAACCCGCGGAACACCCTCCAATTAACGCCACAGAAGTCTGGTACTTTGGGCAGAGAGCTCAACCATAAACTGATTGGGATCCAACTCATGCCAAAGGCTCACTTCAGACATCTGACTGCAGGGAGAGATGGCCCACTATGCAGATTAACCCGCCATTCCTCCAGATTTCTCTAGTTTTAGCCATACCCCAAATTAGGTCAACACAAAACGACATTTGTCCTTCATAGTAACAGCGTCCTACAGAAACCCTTCACACACACTTAAGATTTACGCCCTCTGCTTTTACAGAGTGGATATGAGAAACATCCATTTAAACAATCACTCAGGGCCTTTCATAAAGGAACAGTTGAAAGCACTGTCCATTACAGTCTCCAGTGCCCTTACATAAAAAAGCACATGATGAATGCAGTGCCGACAGAAAGTTCAGCTCTCTCTGGTTTCCTTCAGCAGAGGTGAACTGTACCATCGCATTTCCTTTTGCGGCAACGCTTCAAAACTTCAGAAGAAAATGCAGCGCTCAAGTGCAGCTCACTAATGGAACCCAACCACCTTGCGATATCTAGTCTTTGATTTGTTTCTTACCCCTTTTGATCTTGATTTTATTTTTATGTCTCCTGTGTTAAATCCGGCTTCATTTTGCAAGCCAACTTAAATCCTTTTTTTTCCCCTCCTTCAAAAGTAGGACATCAATCCTAAGTAAAAGAGGCTTTTTCTTACCCTCTGCAGAATCATCACAGCCCTCCTGGCAGCTGCAAGTGCTCCTGGACTCACCAGACCCGCGCACATTGCTGCCCTGGAGTCTGGTCAACACAATGGAATGTACGAGACAAGTAGACCCCAATCAGCCTCAAGTCCCTCCTCTCTGCTCACTGCACCAACCCCAAGCAAGAACGGCCCAGCTTTTAAGACTTCACGCTCTAGAGTTTCAGAAGGAAAGCTGATTCCCAAAGTCCAGAATGTTTCCACATAAGATGACAATACTTGGGGGCCGGGGGAGGGAAGGAGGGGAGCCTGAGGGGCTCAGTTGGTTAAGCATCTGACTTCTGCCCAGGTCATGGTCTCGCGGTTCATGGGTTTGGGCCCCATGTCGGGCTCTGTGCTGACAGCTCAGAGCCTGGAGCCTGTTTCCCATTCTGTGTTTCCCTCTCTCTCTGACCCTCCCCCACTCAAGCTGTCTCTCTCTCTCTCTCAAAACTGAATAAATGTTTTTTAAAAATGAAAAAGAAATGAACCCTGGGGAGGCCTTCCCTAATCCCTGACCCTCAAAATCATAACCAAAATAAAAATCAGTGGTTTTCAGATGGGAATAGGGGCACTACCTCACCCACAAGGTTACTGTAGGGACCAAATATTTAATGCCTGTAAAGCCCATAGCCCAGTGCCCGGTGTATGTAAGTGTTTGGTAAATGGTGATTATTATTATTAATCTGTCAAGTAGCAAAACTGAAAGTTCTGCGTCACACCTGCCTAGGGAACCAACTTTCGCAAGAACCCTTCTGTGACAGCATTCCACAGTCACATCACATCAGATGGCCTACATAAACGAGTCCTTGGCAGGTGGCCCGTCTTCCTATTTTTCTTGGCCACCTCTCAGTCACCTCCAACAGGCCCCAAGGTGCATGCGGTAAGGTCCCACATGCATGCACATACATGTTGAATATCTAGAGATAACCCTATAGTGTCAGGCCAGGTGCCTCTGTCTCTGGGCAGAGTCCAAATGGGAGGTCCCGGAGAAGGGTCTGGTGCTGTGCTCATGCCCGACTCACCCCTGATAAGTGTCCCAGCAGCTGTAACACAGTGAGTCACAGTCACGGGGAAAGAGGAGGAGATTTAAGAGGGAGAAAGAGAACACAGGCGGCTTTTCTACCACTTACACCCCGCCCGAGAGTTACCCTCGCGCAAATATCTCGGAACATTCTGTAAGCTAGACATGACTGCTTTCTTTGCAAGTCTTATTTCCCTATGCACACACCTTAACCCTGTCCATGTTTATCCATCTGTTCAGCCAGTGCTTCCCGAGTGCCCCCCATGTATGTGCAGAGTGCCATGTGAAGTGGGGGTTCTACAAACCTTCCCTCAGTCAGCATGAGGGTGATGGCATTCCGGACGGCGGTGCTGGCGCTCTGCGGGGAACGCAAACAACTGGACCCTTGGGATAATAGCGGAGCCTTTCCCCACCATTTAGTCTCTCTACTTCTTCTCGCTCTCTGGAGGACACAGCCACCAACAAATCCTTTCCACTTAAAAGGAGCCCGTTCCTTCCCGGAACAGCCCTCCTGCTTTCTGACAGTCTCTGCATCTCCCACGGGCGATGCCGGGATCAGTGCACCAGCACTTCAAAGGGGCCCTCACACTGGCTTGTAGGCGGTGCTTTCTAAAAAAAAAAAAACCCAACAAAAAAAAAAATAAAAAATAGGGGGGGGGGGTCCCAAGTGTCGGTGTTGGGATTTGACAGCAGCACACAATACACCGAGGATCAGAGCCGGGAGACAAATTCAGCTCCAGAGATGAAAAATCTTTCGGCGCTGACAACATCTGTTTTATTTTGAAGGTTGCTAAGGAAGAGTTCGAGCTGGGCCGACATTGTTGCAGTTCAGTACTTCACAGTGAGGCTCTCGCACAGGGTTCAGACGGCAGGAAGGGAAGCTCGCCAGAGAAACCTGCTCCTTCCGCCGCGCAGATATCAAAGGATCGCTTTGCTACTGGGGATGATTAGCACCCTGCCCAGTCTCACTCTGAATTGGCCATACCTTCTGCTCCCTCTGATGCCTCGTCCTCTCCCTGCACAACTCCCCCCCGCTCCCCCCGGCCCACTTGCCGACTCCCCCTCTCTGCCAAACGAATTAGGAAGGAATGGACAGTGAATGTGCCGCTGACCCAGGAGATGTTTTTGCACGGAGCCGTGGAAGAGCTAAGTGCGGGATGGGGGTCACAGAGGGAAGGTGCTTAGCATCAGACAGCAGAGGGAACAATTTCCAGGCCTTTACAGATCTGGTTGACCTCCTGACAATCACAGCGATGCCCGATGCCTGCATCAGGCTCAGAACAGCCAGGGGCCGGCAGAGAGCTCACGTCCAAAACAGAAGAGTCTGAAGCCGGTTCCCAGCTGCGGAGTGGTGCACCCCAATCTCCGCTCACTCTCCCCCCCCTCCCCCGCCCACTGAAGCATCCCTGTAATTAATTACAAGAGAGTAACAAAAATGAGGAAAGTCAGCCCTGGGGGCAGGGGGAGGAGGGCAAGCATGTAGGAAAATAAGAGGTGGGGAAGATAAGAGGGGCAAAACAGAGGAGGGCACGACGATTTCACATACGTGCCAAGTCGTTATACAGCGAGGGTCAAGGTGGCCAACAGGGAGAACCATGGGGACTCGCAGCCAGGGAGAGAACCCACCAGAAGAGCCCAGGGAGCAGGAAGGCCCTTCCACTGCATTGGCATCTGCAAATAACATCATTTTGGGATTCCAGGGCATTCAGTGAAAAAAAAAAAAGTGCATTCCATTTTCCGAAGGAATTCTCTTTTTGCTCTGGGCTTTAGGGAAGCGCCAGCTCCTGCCAGAGACTATAGGAAAAGGAAAGGAAGAAGGCAGCGTTCTGACTCAAGGAAGATCCATTTCAAAGAGCCCTTCGGCAGGGACGGCCCTGCAAATCTCGACAACAAAAGGAAACTATGTACATTTGCCTTGCCTGCCAGATTCTATTTCAGCCTACTTTACCTCCCTTGCCCCCACCCTGGGGTCTATCCTGGCTAAAGTGTGCTCGTCCGGATGGAAAGAATACCAAGATCATGCAAAAGGCGCAGCGCCCTAACTCACCCCCATATCCCAGGGGAGGCAAAGAGCGACCCCGCCCTCCCTGCCACTCACCTAGCCAGGTCACGTCCACGCTGGCCGGGGCAGACCTGGCCTCTGCCACCTTGTGCCAGCTCCTGTTGTGTCCGGGTGCCCAGAGCGCCACATGGCAGAAATAGTAGCCGGAGTTTTCTTTGCTAACGTCCCGAACCAGTAAATGGTAGGACCGTGCGTCCACGTGACTCAAGGCCACATGGGGGGAGCTGTGCACGAGGGAGTCCCGGTCCAGCCTCGCCAGCACGAGGGAGCCAGGCAGAGTGCTGTCAGGCGTCCTGCTGAAGTACCACGTCACCTCGGGCCGGACGTCATCTGTTCGGTCCGTGGTGATGTTGCAGCTCAGGCCCAGCTCCTTCCCTTCTGCCACAGACACGTTCCGGGCCACGGTCGCTCGCAGAACTTGAAAATGAAAAAAATAAATACATCTAGATAAACAGGGTTACATTTGCCCCTCCCCACTCTAGATCCTCTCTCTCTCTCTTTTTTTTCAATGTTTATTTTGAGACATAGAGTGCATGTGCAAGACAGGCAGACACAAAGAGACGCCGGAAGGGAGGGTTCCAGCCAGGCTCTGGCTGACAGCACAAAGCCCAACGTGGGGCTTGAACTCATGAACAGGAGATCACGACAGGAGCCGAAATTGGATGCTCAGCCGACTGAGCCACTCAGGTGCCCCTAGGTCCCCTCCTTTTAGGTTCTTATTTACAGCATTAAAGTGAGAAGGCTCTGGGGTGCCTGGGTGGCTCAGTCGGTTAAGCGACCCACTTTGGCTCAGGTCATGATCTCACGGTTCCTGGGTTCAAGCCCGAGCCTGTTTCAGATTCTGTGTCTCCCTCTCTCTCTGCCCCTTCCCCAATCATGCTCTGTCTCTCAAAAAATAAATAAATGTTTAAAAAAAATTTTTTTTTAAGTGAGAGGGCTCTGTGTGATTGTAAGTGCGCGAGAAATATTTGCTGAAAAAATTAAGGAACTAGAACACGTTTCTTTTCATTCCATGAAAACAGTAACAGCAGCAAACACTTAATACACTTACTATATGCCAGGCACTGTTTTGAGGGCCTCATAAATATTAACCTTCAGGGGCATCTGGGTGGCTCAGTCGGTTAAGCGTCTGACTTTGGCTCAGGTCATGATCTCACGGTTCGTGGGTTTGAGCCCTGCGTCGGGCTCTGTGCTGACTGCCAACTCAGAGCCCAGAGCCCGTTTCAGATTCTGTATCTCCTGTCTCTCTGACCCTCTCCTGCTTGCGCGAGCTCTCTCTCTCTCTCTCTCTCAGAAATAAATAAAACATGAAAAAAATTATTTTTTAAAATATTAACCTTCAAGACAACCCTAGGAGCTAAGTACTAGTATCATCTCCCTTTTACTGATAAGGAAATGGAAGCACAGAGAAGTAAGCTGCCCAAGGTCACATAGGGACCATTTGAAAAGAAGTCAGAACATCACAAAACTACAATTACAGTTTCTCCATGTGCATGATAAAACGCGGGGGGATTTTACAGAGAAAGGACAGCTCAGTGCTGACTGGCTTATAGAACTAGTTAGGGACTAGGGGCTTGGGGTTGGAGGCTGGAGGGCAAGGGGTAAGGGTAGACCCATCTTCTGGGTACAACAGGAAACATCCTCAACAGAAGGACCAGGAGAGTGAACCCAGACCATATGCCTTATGAGTCAAGTCTTCAAAACGCAGTGACTTAGAGCAGCACTCATTCCGTGAGCGCCACGACTTCTGGACTCTCCACACCACTGCCCTCTCCCACGAGTGTAGGTAATTAAAAGCAGACTATATTTAGGTGAAGCACTGAAGTATTTGGGGTCACAGTCTCAAAACAGGTCTGGTTTCAGCATCCTCCCCCCCCCCCCCCCCCGCTGCCAAAGCTTTTTACATGAAAACATTTCACTTTATTCAAGCATTTGTTTGTGTGTTTTTAAAGAAGTTGAACATCCGTAATCAGAATAGAAAAACATTCGATTCCTTGTAATGCTCTGGGAACAACTGCCTCAATGAGAAATAGCTAACGCCTCCCAGGGGGTTCAAGTGCAGGTGTAGTCCTGGTCTTCCAGCAAGGAAGCGGCATCAACTGCTATCCTGAGTAAGCTCGGCGACCAAGGCTGGTGCCTCGCTCAGAAAAGGCCCCACCCCAAAGCCCATGCCCTTTGGAGTCGATGGTTTTCACAGGAGTATTTCCAAAGCCTGACGACACTTCCAACAACCATCTCAGGCCACGTTCAAGACCCACCGTGACGGAGACGGAAAATGAAGTGGGTACAATATTATAAAAGGGAATTTAGAAGTCGAATTTCTCATCCTCCAAATTTTTCCTCCTCCTTCACCTCCTTAACGGGACCAAAAGGAATTGGAGGGCATCTTTGGAGAGGAGTCAGTACGGAAAGTTCTGCTCTGAGCCTGTGCTGTGGTCCACGTTCAAGGCCAGTGGTCAGAGACCCTGGAATGCTGCCGGCAATCCTCTGTGCGGCTGGAGGCAAAAAAGGAGGCTCAGGAGAGAGCCACGGGAGTGAAGCAGGGGGTAAATACACAGCTGTGGACTGCACGTATGGAGACAACGGATTCTTAGCTTTAGGAATATCGGCAGAAACCTCTCTTCAACTGAATAGTTCACTTTGTAATTTTCTCTCTGCAAGTTGCTAAATAGCTTGTCACATCACTAACCATTGTTCCCTGTATGTTCTGGATGGGGGGGAGGGGTTCACAGCTGGGAGACAGGATAGAGCTGGCGAAAGAAAAAGAATAATTTCTGAAGACTCGTAATGCAGGGGGATACCTCAAAGTCTGTGGTGGTGAAGCGGTGAAGCTTTCTCTGGTTGGACAGAACTGATCCTTTTTTTTTTTTTTTTTTTTTAACTAATTTCTACCTGAAATACAGCATCTCTGTACATTACGAAACTAAGCAACAAACCGCCATAGCATTATCTGTCTCTGGGACTTGGCCCCAGTAGAAGTCACAGATATTTTCTGGGTCTCTGGGTGGCTCAGTCAGTTAAGCGTCCAAGTCTTGATCTTGGCTCAAGTCATGATCTCACAGTTTTTGAGATCAAGCCCCGCGATGGGCTATGCGCTATCAGCTTGGGACTCTCTCTACCCTGCCCCGGTTCCCATGCATGTGCACATGCCTGATCTCTCTTGCTCTCAAAAAAAAAAAAAAAAAAAAAATCCACAGGTATTTTCAAATGACATTGCAACTATTGTACATATCTTAAAAATACCATTTGCACCCACTGCTACTTGGAAATTACAGTAGTTCTGAAGCCTGCCACTACACGTTACTTAAGGAATGAATAAAGCACAATATTACTGCATAATAAATTTGTCTTAAAATATTGATAACTACTTCAATGTAATTGTTTTTCTTTGTCATCTCAAATATGTGTTTTAACCCAGTGAAGAAATGGGCAGAAGATATGAACAGACACTTCTCCAAAGAGGACATCCAGATGGCCAACAGACACATGAAACGATGCTCAGCATCCCTCCTCATCGGGGAAATACAAATCAAAACCACACTGAGATACCACCTCACGCCAGTCAGAGTGGCTAAAATGAGCAAATCAGAGGATTCTAGATGCTGGCGAGGATGTGGAGAAATGGGCACCCTCCTACACTGTTGGTGGGAATGTAAACTGGTGCAGCCCCTCTGGAAAACAGTGTGGCGGTTCCTCAGGCAACTAACAATAGAACTCCCCTATGACCCAGCAATAGCACTGCTAGGAATTCACCCAAGGGATCCAGGAGTGCTGATGCATAGGGGTACATGGACCCCAATGTTCAAAGCAGCACTCTCAACAATAGCTAAAACATGGAAAGAGCCTAAGTGTCCATCAACAGATGAATGGATCAAGAAGATGTGGTTTATCTATACGATGGAATACTCCATGGCAATGAGAAACAATGAAATCTGGCCATGTGTAGCAACATGGATGGACCTTGAGGGTGTTATGCTGAGGGAGATAAGTCAGGCAGAGAAGGACAGATACCATATGTTTGCACATATAGGAGGATTAGGAGGAACTTAACGGAGGACCGTGGGGGAGAAGAAGGGGGGAAATAGTGGGGGAGAGGGAGGGAGGCAAACCGTGAGAGACTCTTGAATGCTGAGAACAAACTGAGGACTGATGGATGGGGGGGGGGTGGAGATGGGCATGGAGGAGGGCACGTGTGGGGATGAGTACTGGGTGTTATACGGAAACCAACTTGACAATAAACTATTTGTAAAAAAAAACCAACAAAAAAACCCCCAAAATACGTGTTTTATAAATAAAAGCACACGAATTCTGAGAAAGCATCTGTGGACTGTCAAAAGGAGCCCATGGCACAAAATGTTTATAAACCTCCACCACCACCACCCAGGCTCAGGTGAGTGCCAGAGGCTAGTACAGAGAGGTTCAGAGTGTTCAAGTATTACACTAGCTCTTGGCTTGTTTGAAATAACAAATTCCTTCACAATGAGGCTCCTGCACAAAAAGATTACTTGTTGCAAATCTAAAACTCTTAATCCTTCCGCCCTGTGAGAACAGTGGGCTGAGACAGGCTGAACATCCCAGTTTCTTAGGACAGACTCCAGGCAGATCACTTCCTTAAAGGAAGGTGACCTGACTCCATTTAGAAAGTGCTCTCTGCGTCCGGTGGAACCAAGCCTGACCACGATGGGTAGCACTCAGCGAGAGCACCTCCCACTTCCCTAAGGGCTGTGGTCACTCGGGAACCTCCGTCCTGCTTCTTAGCAAACCCAACTCCCATGCGGTGGTATGAATGCAGAGCGCAGCGCTCAGCACCGTGCAGCCGGCGGAGGAGAAATGCTCGCCGTGTGCACGGCCTCCTGCTTCCCTGCCCATCTAAGCAGCCGCTCGTTCACACTCACACTGAGGAAACGAATCTGCCCGAGGTGCTCCCACCTCTCAAGGCAGATCTAAACGTGTTAGATTCCCAGAAAACCAAGGACAGACAGTCATTCATCCACAGCAAGGACCTCATCCTGAGATGGTCTCTGTACACGGTCTCTGTCAAGGCCGGAGGCTCTACGGGGCCTCCCAGAGGGGCCTGGGAACATTCCTCAAGCCCCTCTGACCCCAGGGCCCAGACGGGGCTGATCACCTGGCAGGTTCAGTAATGCCTGTTGGACCCTGAGTCAACAACAGCTTGTTTTTTCCTCTTCCTTTTCTTTCCTTGTCATGGCTTTTTCTAAAACGTCTCTTGCACTTCCTACCTCTCCGGTAGGAATAGGAAAGGGTTTTTTAAAACAAAGTCTAGTTCACAGATGAGAGGGCACAGAACTTGGAGACCCAGGACCGGAGGCTTGTTCCAGGGCGATGTGTCATTCGAGGAATGAGAAGAGGCTGGGCCCTAGAGAAGTCTCACCTCGCAGGGCACATCTGACGGGGGCCCAGAGGATGCGCCAGTGATGGGACGTCTGCCCGGGAACTAGACAGGCATCCCCCGCAGCTGTGCCGAACGGCGGATTCAGGAATTCAGACAACACCCGAGCAAGATGAAGCCAAAGCACGATAAAGGGAGGGCGCTGGGGACAGCCTGGTCCCACAGCCCCTCCGAACACCAGGTAGGCCCTCACCCTGACACTTCAAAGGACTTAAGCTTTCGGTCTACAAACTGTTGGTACTTTATGCAACCTGCACACAAATCCCGATGGGAGCAGCTGTGAAACAAAACTACAGGCACCCAGCACAAACCAAATGCACCTTCCCCCACTCCCACCCCCGCCCCACTCCCCCAGCCGGGCCACCGGTGACCCGGCCGCCTGTTTCTGTACCGTCACCGCCCAGAACACAGGCCAGAGCGACGACGACTAGACGCGACCCGGGAGCTCACCTGTGGGCTGGATCAGCACGGTGGCCACGTCCACGGCTTTCTCCTGAATCTCCTGCCAGCCGCCCTGCTCGCCGATCCACTCGCTCACCACGCACCTGTAGGAGCCCTGGTCGGCGGCCAGGGCGCGGGCCACGGACAGGCGGTAGCCGTCGGCGCCCACGGTGTCCAGGCGCACGTCGCCCACGCGGTAGCGCTGCTCGTAGCCGGGCCCCGGGCGGAAGCGGCCGTCGTGGCTCAGGCCCAGCACGCTCCGCCGCGTCGGGCCCCGCTGCAGCTCCCACAGCAGCGCCAGGTGCGTGTGCAGCGGCGACGCCGTGGACGCTGCGCAGCGCAGCTCAAAGGGCTCGCCCAGGCGCAGGCTCAGGCCCGAGGCGGGCGGCGCGCCGGCCCCCACGTGCAGGGCGTCGGCCAGCACTGCGGGAGGAAGGGTGAAGGGGAGCGTCTGCCGCCGCGCCCCGCCCCGCCCCGCCCCGCCCCACCCCTGCAGGCAGGCGCCCGCCCCTTCCAGGGCTTTCTGGCCCCAGGCCGAGGAGCGGTGCTGCGCCCTACCCTGTTCATTACAACACTCCCATTTTAATTTGTGTGTAATCACAACTGCCTGTCTTAACTGGAAAAGGAAAAAACAAAAAAAGAAGAAAGAACAAGAAAAAAGAACAAAGGCAAAAGAAAAAAAAAAAGACAAAAGAACAAAGACAAAAAAACAAAAAAGAAAAAGAAAAACGACAGAAAGAAAAAAGAAAAAGGCAAAAACAAATAAAAGAACACAGGAGAAAAAAGAAAAAGAAAGAAAACAGTAAAGACAAAAAAGGAAAAAAGAAGTAAAAGACACTACGAAGACATCCCCCCACCCCCCAGAGCTGGGTGGAGAACACTCCCGTTGGGGAGTTGCACCTTGGGGATGAGTTTCTGCCACCCTTGAGCAAGTTGCTTCACTACTCTGTGCCTCAGTTTCCTCATCTCTAAACAGGGTGACCACTGGGCCCATCTCGGGGAGTTGCGGGAGCTGAAGGAGGGATACGGGAAGGTGCATGGCACTCAGCAGTGCTGGGAAAGCACTGGCTGCAGCTGTCAAACACTCCTCTGTCCGGGCACAGGGCTGTAGTAGGGAGCCTGAAGAATCTTCTAGCAGATAGAGCAGCATGATGGGCAGAGGGCAAAAGCATGGCATGAGCTGCCTGTGCCCCGAGGCCTGGGGAATGCCCAAGAATAACTAGGGTGAATGGAAAGGTTCTGCAGGATAGGAACCCTTCAAGGAAACCTGAAGCCTCAGCCATTTGCTCTATTAGGGCTGTTTGGAAAAAGGCTGGCTCTTTATGGAGTCTAGAATAAGGGGCCAGAGGTCAAGAAAGTATTGGTGAGGGCAGTTTAGGAAGGGAAGTGATAACCGAGGTAACCAGAAATGTGGCCTCTACCAGGGGGCAAGGATCATCTCCTGGGCTGGTCTATAAGCTGGATGAAAGAATCCTCGCACACCACTATTCGTGGTCAGTTCCGTTGTTCTCGAAATTCCACACTTAGAAACGAATTCAGTGTCCTTAAGAAAAAAATGCTCCATCTTTAGAAAGACCTATCTCTCCCAAAGAGCATCTCCACTACAAAATGAATATGACTTCTAGTGTATACATTCTAGTGAGTATGGTTAACGACTCAGTTCTCGTGGCTAGTTATCTGTGAGCACGCAGCCACAAGGCTGAAGGCCACACGGACCGGGGACGGTGTGGGGCAGCCACCAGAGGCCCTACCTGGGCAGCCAGCCAGTCTCTTTTGTGGCCATTTACCTCCTTCTCTCACTCAAGGAAAGCCTCGCTTTGCTTCCTCCTTCCAAAGGCTGGAGAAGAAACAGGAAGCCACTGGGGTAACAGGGTGGGGGGATTCTCAGGCTGCCCACTACTCCTCGACAAGAGAATTACAGGGGAGATAAGCGTGCCTCTGACCTAACTGAGGTGGAGCATGTGTGGGGCTAAAGGCAACACCTGAATTAACTGCAGTGCAAGAATGTCTCATGGGGCTTTTTTCTAGAAAACATTTTTAGGATTTTCTGTAAGAATAAGGAAGAGGTGATGGAAGAGGCAGATTTGATGTTTCAATACCTACCTATTGCAGACGGCTGTTTTAGTCCCTCATGAGTTGAACGGGAGGAACAGCAGCTGAGAAACAGCAGGGCTCTGCACATTATCATGGAGGGAACAGATACTTGGATCTGCCCCGTTTTGTTAGATCATCATGGGCACCTTTCTTGCCCAATCGTTACCTACACTCCCTGCTCTGATAGAAATGTGTTATGGGGGGCGCCTGGGTGGCTCAGTCGCTTAAGCATCTGACTTGGGCTCAGGTCATGATCTCATGGTTCATCAGTTTGAGGCCCCCAACGCCCTCTCTGCTGTCAGCGTAGAGCCCACTTCGGATCCTCTGTGCCCCTCTCTCTCTGCCCCTCCTCTGCTCATGCACTCTTGCGCGCTCTCTCTCTCAAAAATAAATAAACTTAAAAAAACACATAAATAAATGCTTTTTGGAACAAGGCAGGGTCCAGATAAATGCATAATTAAGTGATAATAACAATAATAACACTTCCATTTTGCTGGCCCCCAAATTAAGATGGTTTGTTCTTGCTTATTCACTAATTAGCTGAATGAATTTTAGGCAAGTAATTAGCCTATGCTCTTCCATTCCTCATGTGTAAGTGAGGGAAATATCCTGCATGATTTTCTTCACTGGGTTCAGAGAATTAAACGTAGGAATAAATCTAATAGGACATGGAAAATGGGAAATGAACCAACCAACCAAATCAAAGCCCTGAACATTCAGGATATGTAAGGTGTGATTCTCTGCAGAGAGGCCAGTAAGCTAGTAGGGTCCACGGTAAGCTAGCAGCGACCACGTCGTCCTTTCTCTACAGAGAAGCCGCACGGATTCTAGAAGGGCATGAAGGTCACGAAGAAGGGCATGAGCTTGGGGGTATGTGCTATTCTCGTGGAGGTGAACCTTCTCGTTGCAAACCTTCCTGGAATGCCTACCGGGGAGCTGCTCTGAGGCCCGGCATGCGCTAATCACCTTGTGCTCTAACCTTGAAGGGGAGCACTGTTTTACAGAGGAGGAAGCCGAGCCACCCAACACGCCCACGGCTACAGAGCTGATGAGTGGTACAGCCAGCCAAGGATGGGTCACCTGGCCTACCTCTGCCTTTAATCAGGTAAGGAAGGTACTCCTGGCCACAGGACAGCAGGAGAAGAGCCCGGGGGGAGTTTTGTTTCCCGACGAAGTGACCCATGGCCAAGTGGCAGGGGGCAGGTCTGGCCCCCCGCATGCAGGCCCCCAAGAGGCGATACCTTTAACCTGCACTGTATCCTCGTAGTTGCCCTGGACAGTGGCATCGGTGCTGGGGGTGGAGCACTTGTAGTGGCCCTGGTCTGAGGGCTGGACGTTCCTGATGTGCAGCTCCACGGCGTCGTTGGCCGTCCTCCGGAGCAGGATGTCGCCCCGCTGCAGGCGCTCCCGGTACGGTTGGGCCGGGAAGCCCGCCTCCCAGGTGCTGGCCAGCTCCACGAAGCCGCTACCCGAAGACGAGAAGCTCCAGTCGAAGTTCTGCTCGGGGGGACCGTCATAGTCGCTCACGTTGCAGGGGATGACGAGCTCGGTGCCCACCACCCGCACCAGGCTCCCCGAGGGCACCCTCACCACACGCCCCCGACAGAGCGCTGCAACGACAAGAGGGGACAGGCGGGCCCTGAGCTGGGGAAGGTCATCCCAGGATGCTCCTGCTCACGGGCTTTGGGGTAAAACTGTGATATCTGGCCAGCTGGGAAACAGCGATGTGCTGCCTGCGTCTCTCAGAAGGAGGTTAAGCCCATCCCTGGAACCACGAGCCAGGGATCCAGGCCTCGAGTGACTGCCTGTCATCAGCAGGGGAGGGGACAAGTATTAAAAGTAGGCTCACCATGGGGCGCCTGGGGAGCTCAATCAGTTGAGCGTCCAACTTTGCTCGGGTCATGATCTCACGATTCCTGGGTTCGAGCCCCACGTCAGGCTCTGTGCTGACAGCTCGGAGCCCAGAGCCTGCTTCGGATTCTGTGTCTCCCTCTCTCTCTGCCCCTCCCCTGCTCATGCTCTGTCTCTCAAAAATAAATAAACATTAAAAAAAAATTTTTTTTTAATGTAAAGGAGAAAAACTACGCTGACTGTAAACATGGATGGCTTCCTCCCTCTAGTTACTATTTAACATACCGCTGTCACCCAGGGCGATGCAGAAATATTTTAGGGTTTGGTGCGAAAGAAAAGGACACAGCTAATCAAGTATTTACATTTCTGCCCACCCTAGTGCAGCCCTCATCCCTGGAGACCATTCCCCGGGGCTCCTGAGCCCTGATTTACAGTGATGGATGCCAATCCTTAAACCCGGGAGCAGCCTGCTGATAGAAAGATCTAACTCTGCTTATCTGACATCGTCTATAAATTAGTATTAAAATATGACGACTCCACCAAGTATTAATTTTCTATTTTCTGGCTCATTTCCTTCTCTCTACTCTTCGCCCTGATCTAAATTCAGAATGAGGGTAGGGAAGCACAAAGGGAGACAGTGCCTTGGGTGGCTGGCTGCTGGGCGTCATTAGGAATGCAGCAGCTTGCCGTGATGAGTGCAGCGGGCAGAGCCACGCGTTGACTGGCATTCCCTGCCCTAGGTGTCCCTTAAGATGTCAGCCTTGCCATGAACTTAAGTGTGAATTTGCGGTGCATTCACTACCTGTGTACAGCATTTCAATTTGGACTAAATGAACTTGTCTGGCTCCCGCCTGATGTTCTATAAACAGGTGCAGCACTAGGGCAAACAGGAACCCACGGGCTCTGAAACCCAGGAGACCTCAGTTTGGTTGTTTTCTTAATTCAAGCATTTCCTTTGTGTTTGAGGGACCTGACACAAAATAGAACACCTGTATCCCACACATATTCCTTGTTCTGGGACAAGTGCACATTCCCTAGATTCCTCTATATTAACTCCTTTTTCTTTCTTCAGTATTATGGTCAGGCATGGTTGGGTCAAAAGGAACATCACTCAAAAACCACAAGAATCTTGAAAAAAAATACTCACTGTTTAAAAAAACTGAACAAAATCAACACTATACTAACAATTAAAATGCAAAGAAAAGAGGGGCGAGTGGATGGCTCCATTAGTTACGCGTCAACTTTGGCTCAGGTCATGATCTCATGGTTTGTAAGTTCGAGCCCCGCGTCGGGCTCCATGCTGACAACTCGGAACTCAGAGCCTGCTTCAGATTCTGTGTCTCCCTTTCTCTGCCCCTCCCCCGCTCATGCTCTCTCTTTCTCTCTCAAAAATAAACAAACATGAAAAAAAATTTTAAAGAAAAGCAAGCATGAAGTTATTAGAAATACTGAAAAGAGCTCATTCCTGATATAAAGAGATTAGATATTTATAAGGGAATCACTTTTGTCTTATACAGAAATCACATACAAAATTGAGTAATTTCCTTAGAGAGCTTAGTTGTAAGAGCAACTACCACACTGGATTTGCCCCTCACAGAAACACTCTGAAGGAGACCAAAGAGACTGACCTCTCTCAGCTTTGGCTGCCTCAACTATAAGATGGGGCAAGAAGGATTTACTGAATATGTGAAATAAAAAATGCCGGGCTGAGAGTCTGCTGGGTAATAGCTCAATAAAATGAGAACTTCTATTACGTATTTTCAGCTTTGTATTCCTATCATTTGTTAAGGGTCAAATTAGGAGCCCCCCCAACAAAACTCATATGGTGAAGACCTAGCCCCCAGTACCTCAACGTGTGACCTTATTTGGGAATGGGGTCAATGCAGAAGTTATCGGCTGTTATTAGACATCATCAGTTGAGGTCATTCGAGAAGAGGGTAGGACCCTAACCTTAGGACTAGTATCCTTAAAAAGAGGGAAGCCTGGATATAAAGGGAAAACACCATGTGAAGATGAAGGCAGAGATGGAGGTGAGGTGTTCGCAAGCCAAGGGACATCAAAGATGGCCCATGAAACCAGCGGAAGCTGGCGGGGAGGCCTGGGGCACATTCTCCTCACCCTCCGAAGGAATTGAGCCCACTGTCATGTGGTCTGCTAGTCTCCAGAGCTATGAGACAGCACCTTCTGCTGTGTGAGCACCAGTCAGCGGTTCTTTGCTACAACAGCCCTAGCAGACGGATCCGCCATCGTGGCTCGCTTTCTAATGACTTAACTCACGGTTTTCGAAGGCTGAGTTGCCATTTAGTGGTTGTGAAATGAATTTACAGTGGTTGTGACCAGCACGTGAGGGGTGTGTGTGTGTGTGTGTGTGTGTGTGTGTGTGTACCAGATGATGATTAAAACCCTGTGTTCTAATTTGTATTGGGGTAAAAAAAGAAAAAACATAGTTGAACACTTTTTAAAATCCAACTCTCATTTTCTCCACCAATTATCATTTGCTTTGAAGAGTGGGGAAAAGGAGGCATCCCTACAACAGAAATAGTGAGAAGGTGAGTGTGTGCTCTAGGCAGGGGGCTGTCTGTCAGCCTTGCAGGGGGCAGGTCTGGACTGCTGCCTGGCTCAAAGAAAAGATGCTGCACCCCTAAAACACTCTCCTTAAAAGCAGAGCTATTGGTTATGCTTGTGATTAATTGTTGTAAATATTTGGGTGCTCCCGAATTCGGTGCATAGACATTTATAATTGTTAGCTCTTCCTGATGGATAGATCCCGTAATTATTATATAATGCCCTTCTCCATCCCTTGTTACAGCCTTTAGCTTAAAATCTAGTTTGTCTGATATAAGTGTGGCTACCCAGCTTTCTTTGGACTTCCAGTAGCATGACAGATAGTTCTCCATCTCCTCGCTTTCCATCTGAGGGTGCCCTCAGGTCTAAAATGGGTCTCTTGTTGATGGCAAATAGATGGATCCTGGTTTTTGTTTGTTTTTTTTTAATCCATTCTGATACAATATGTCTTCTGATTGGAGCATTTAGTCCATTTACATTCAGAGTTATTACTCAAAGATACGGGTTTAGAGTCATTGTGTTCTCTGCGGGCTTTGTGTTAGGCACTGAGGAGGTCGCGTGTTGAAATGAGACTGGGTGTTGTATGGAAGCCAATGGGACAGTAATCTATATTTTAATAAAAATAAAGTTACTGGTGCTAATGACTCAGGACTGCGGGTCATGTGTCTTCCGGCAGATAGCAGGATCACCAGACTGTTATGGAAGAGGGCTCAAACCTGCTGCTGCTTTCCTCCTAAGGCAACCCAGCGCTGACGGGATGACGCCCATGACCTCACACCTATGGCTTCTGGCAAACATGCAGCATAGCCTCACCTGCTGCCCAGCCTTCCTCGGGTACTCCTCAGATCAGGCTGACCCTGGCAGAAACCAGGTCTGTCAAAATCCTTCTGGCTTGTTATGGCTGAAGCTGCTCAGAAACGTGAACTTCCCTTGGAATCGGGGTGCCATAAAGGTGATTTGCAAAAACAAAGAATCCAAGATGGTTGTGTAGGAAGATCCCGAACTCACCTCCTCCCAAGGACACATGCAACCGACAGCTATGTAGGGATCCTTTCCATTTGAAAAAGATCTGAAAACTAGAGGAACCGCGTCTCCACAACAGAAAATAAGAGGACTGTATTGAGATGGGTGGGAGAGTCGGGGACACTCATCTCGCCAAAACACCCATCCCCCACACCCCGCTGCAGGGGCATCTCGCCAGACAAGCATTTCTCCTGAAGGAGCAAGGGGTCAGAGCCCCACATCGGACACTCAAACCCTTGGGATCTGCATCAGAGAGATAAGCTCCACTCCATCCTCTAAGATGGCTTAGAGATCCAACAGGGCTGGCATCCAAAGAACCCACAGCGCCATGGAAAATGGAGATTCTCCTTTTAAAGGGATCACCTGCTTAGGGGCGCCTGGGTGGCTCAGTTAAGCGTCCACCTTCGGCTCAGGTCATGATCTCGCAGTCCGTGGGTTTGAGCCCCACATCAGGCTCTGTGCTGACAGCTCAGAGCCTGGAACCTCCTTAAGATTCTGTGTCTCCCCCTCCCTCCTACACTGTTGGTGGGAATGTAAACTGGTACAGCCCCTCTGGAAAACAGTGTGGAGGTTCCTCATGAAATTAACAATAGAACTCCCCTATGACCCAGCAATAGCACTGCTAGGAATTCACCCAAGGGATATAGAAATGCTGAGGCATAGGAGCACATGTACCCCAATGTTCATAGCAGCACTCTCCACAATAGCTAAAACATGGAAAGAGCCTAAGTGTCCATCAATGGACGAATGGATCAAGAAGATGTGGTTTATCTATACCATGGAATACTACACAGCAATGAGAAAGAATGAAATCTGGCCATGTGTAGCAACGTGGATGGACCTTGAGGGTGTTATGCTGAGCGAAATAAGTCAGGCAGAGAAGGACAAATATCATATGTTTGCACATATAGGTGGATTAGGAGGAACTTAACAGAGGACCATGGGGGAGTAGAAGGGGGGAAATGGTGGGGGAAAGAGAGAGGCAAACCATGAGAGACTCTTGAATGCTGAGAAACAAACTGAGGACTGATGGATGTGGGGGGGAGGGTGGAGATGGGCATGGAGGGGGGCACTTGTGGGGATGAGCACTGGGTGTTATGTGGAAACCAATTTGACAATAAACTATTTGTAAAAAATAAATTAATTAATTAAAAAAAAAAAGATTCTGTGT